ATTTTTAAGAGACAGGGTCTTGCTCTGTCGCCAAGGCTGTATGCAGTGGTGTGATCTTGGCTCACAGCAACCTTCATCTCCTGGGTTCAAGTGATTCTCATGCCTTAGCCTCTTGAATAGCTGGGATTATAGGTGTGTACCACCACGCCCAGCTAATTTTTTTGTATTTTTAGTAGAGATGGGGTTTTACCATGTTGTCCAGGCTGTTCTCGAATACCTGAGCTTGGATTATTTTCCTACCTCGGCCTCTCAAAGTTTTGGGATTATAGACGTGCGCCACTGTGCCTGGCCCACTTCATCTCTTGGTATTTTAACAAGAGGTTCTGTTTCCTGGCCTTCTTTAGCATTTGGTCCCTCAAATAACTGACATGATATGGCTCAGCAAACTGGCAGGTGCTAACTGCTGACATTAGTGAGCTGGTTATTGACTAGAATAAAAATGCAAAGATGCTTAGTCCTTAGAACCTGGCTTCCTGCAATAGCTTAGTAATGTTGAACTGCATTATTGCTGTGGGCTTTCTATTTACAGTGGCTTTTTTTTTTAATACATTTTTTTCTTTAAACAGCTGAACCTTCACCTAGCCCCAGGATTACAAGGAAAAGCACCAGACAAACCACCATCACATCTCATTTCACAAAGGGGTCAGTATATGATAAATTGGCAGCTACATTTTTTTAGGGGTCGGCCATTTTGGGATGGAATTGGTAGGGGGTCACGTGGCAATTCTGTCTTCCATGTTATATAGGTTTTCATCTTGCGGTTCTGTTCACTAGACGTTTATGAATAGCATTTCTGAAAGCGTTACCTGTTTTTACTCATATAGGAAAGGTGAAATGTACACACAATTATGAGTTTTGTATAATGAACCCTGAAATACCCATCTAGTGCCAACAGTTATCAAGTTACAGCCATTGTTTCATCTATACCCCTGTATTGTGTGTCCCCGCCCCACCTGGATTACTTTGTCCATAAATATTTTAGTATATTTCTAGATAGTGAGATCTCTTTTGACAACTTTT